CAGGTTGTCACGTTTGGATAGAAAAGTTTAAAAAGTTGACCCCAGATGCATCAAATATAATAGCCTACATGTATAGTCAAACCTCGTTGTACCGCCAGCCTCACTTACTGGCCAAGGTACAAAAGGAACGTCTACATGTATATATATATATATATATATATATATATATAATGTAGATCTAGTACATGTATTTGTCTTCACACCACCATCTGCCAACTGTTTGAATTGTACCTTCCTTATATAATTATAAATTTGCCAGAACATACCGCCAGCGAACTGACTCAACTGACTGCCAGAGGTACACATTGCACACAACACCCACTGGTCGGCTGCTGCTTGATCATCTTTCTCCTACGAAAAGACGCAGAGATGGAGAGAGAGAGAGAGAGAGTGAGAGAGAGAGAGAGAGAGAGAGATGTACATATCACTGAATATCAGGAACAAAAAGACACTTTTCAAACACAGACTGCATAGCAGAATCGTGTTCCTTGACGTTGGGCTGTCGGGGCTTTAAAAAAATATAAACAGAAGAGGGACCCCCCGTTGAACAGCCAGCTGTTCCATTACATCCGTCAACTTTATGCTTGTTCCAAGGGTGGTGGAGCTTTGACTGTACATGTAGGCCTACTGAACTGCATATGGTACACATTGCAACTGTGATATGAGATGCATGTGCAGTATTTTGCTTGCCATCCCCCTGCCTATTCATAATTCCTGGCACCTATAAATACATGTACTTAAATCCTATATTGTTCAAGTTCAATGAATTTCTTTTTTTTTTTTAATAGTTTTTTACGACGCTCACAAAGTAACTTCTAACTGCACAAGGTCATTGGGTGCGCGGGACATTAGACATTTTCAGTTGGTACGAAATTTTGAATTTTGCCCTGGTGGTGGCCGAAGCCTACTCTTCTCGAATTTAGACCACCAAGGGATCTTTAACGTGCGCAACTTGCACACTACACAGGACCTCCGAGATTGTTTGCGCTTGTCCGAGAAGGCAAGGTGTAGATCTTTTTTACCAAAAGACCAGGGCTGTGGCTGAAAGACAGCAGTAAGGAGCCAAGGAGTAGCAGTAGAAAGACTGCAGAAAGAGTCAGGAGCCGAGAAAAGGGGGCAAAGGAGGTGAGGGGGTGGAGGCAGAACGTGGAGACGAAAACAGACGACAGAACATCACTAGAGAGCAAGAAAGGAGGTGAAATTTCCCGTGGCTACCCTGATTTATCCGGGACCTTTGACTTTGACTGAGAGGCGAACACCATAACCTCTAGGCCATGAGAGCCCCCAAGTTCAATGAATTCCGATGCGCTAACTTTTGACCATGAAGACAGCACCTACAGTACAGTGCAGCCTCTCTATAACTTATAACGACCTTCGATATATATTATATATAATATAAACGACATCCTCCGTATAGCGACATGGTGCCCAGGTCCCAATTTTTTTCCATATTTATATACATGTATTCATTATTAGTAATATTTTTGGTCGCTCTCTTAATACATTTTTGTTTGGGTCCCAAAGATGCCATTATATTATAGAGAGGCTGCACTGTACTTTAGTTCTAGTGAAGCGACAATCTAGTTCTGGCTAACCACACGAAGAAAATAAATTGAAAACAAAACCCCAACTACGATGTCAGAAAAATTATAAAATAAAACGTTTTGTCATGATTGAAATAAAACACATGGTTAAACATTCCCTTTCTTTCTCAATGGAGTCTCCAGTTAAAAATGTTTCCCTTCGCTGGGTGAGTATGATGAGTACATAAGTAAACCTGTAGAATTTTCTCAAGTGACCGATTCAGATTCAAGCCAATCTCTGACATCTAACTCTGACGTGGTCCAAGGGGTTGTGTCATCAGTGATTTTCTCCCCCGCTAGATATCGCAGCAGCATTGGTCCAAACAAATGAAAGTTGAAGGGACAAGATCAGGGCTATGACCGAGAAAGCTTTCATTGTTCAATTCAATAAATAAGTTTTTGGAAATTAGTGGTGTCACCAGCAAGCAAAGGTCCTATGTTGTTGTTTGAATGATGAATGTGAACAATTTGCCTGCATCATCTCAACAATGCTGTGCAAACATTGATGAAGAGCTCTGCCTTGTCATCTGCCAGCTGTTTTGGAACCCGCTGAGTGGCCATTTTTCTGGACCCTCAAGTTTATTTAAATTTAACCTATCTGTACGTCGTGTTTTACTACTACATGTATCGTATCCTTACGATGAGGGGAACTCTGTGCCACCACTTTCCAAAGAGGAAATTTAGATTCTCTACTCATTAATCCGATCCGTACGCTTTACATGGCAGCAGTCTGTCAAAGCGATTTTGAGAGAATACTGAAAGTTTCAAAGAGATCTTCATACTAAAGTAGAAGTACATGTATTCTAAAGTGTTTAGAATACAACTCCGGGGTACAAAATGACCCCAGAGCGAAAGGATAGGTTAAAAACAAGTCCCTAAAAACAATCCTCTGACTGTGTGAGCTGCTTTGATTCTTTAAAGTAACGCATCAGTACAGTAATCAGTATTGACCAGAATTTTGAGCCTCCTGTCTCCATGTCATCACAAACAAATGAGTACATAATTTCAAGGCATTCAGCATTTTTTTTCTGTGTTGGCAGCTGACAACCTCCAGCTTGCTCATCATGGAATATATCTCCACGATGAGCAAGCTGGAGAATTTTAATTCAAAATGGTGCGAGTACAGAGCCGATAGGCCTACGTAAATCATGGTTATTACCGGGCCTGTTATAATTAATACATAAAATAAATAATAATAGATAGCATTTGTATAGCGCATATCCCCGCTCAGCAGCAGGCTCTATGCGCTTTACACTATATTATTACCCCAGCAGACCATAGAACACTCCGAAACATTCTCAGCTTCCCAGGAAGCATACAGTGCAAGCAGCCGATTAAGCGCTCAAACACTAACAAACTGACAAGATCTTTCGCCGTCTATAGCCGGGTACCCATTCCCACCTGGGTGAAGTGAGGAAAATTCGTGTAAAGTGCCTTTCCCAAGGACACAACGTCGGGCCCTTGACGGGATTCGAACCCACGACCTTATGGTTGCGAGTCCGAGAGCCACCGACGCCACATGTAGTTATGGTTTCCACTGTACACATGATGAATAAATACCGCTGGATTAGTCAACAAATGCTTACTTCTCTTGCATTTCTGATTTAACAGGGATCTGATGACAACGGTAACAGGACTTTTTATCTGGTCCCACCATCCTTGTAATACATGTACATGTACTTGCTTAGGAATGCATTCTCACTTTTGCTGGATTTTCAGTCTGTGGGATTTTTTCCCATTTTTGTTTGTGTGAAGAGAAACCAAATAACAACAGTAGGCCTACAGCTCTTCTTATTGATATGGTCTTTTATCTCTACTTTTGACCAATTTTGCGTAGGGGTTGCCATCTTTGTTCTGATTAATCTGATGTAATAAAATGGTTAACTTTTAATTTTTTTTTTTTTAAAACCTTTCAACGAACCGAAAAATATTAGATCATGTAGCCAAGTCATGAAGTGATAAATTTCTTTGCTCGTTTTTCCTGCTCTGGGAAAGCCTTTTTAGTAAGTAGTACTAGTAGTAGACCTTGATCACGTATACATTCACTCGTTATATCGGCTACCATTCTGTCTCTTTCACCGCATGACAAGAGACTCACTGCTCTTCTAAACCTCGAAACACACACACGTGACACAAGTATACAGACCCTGACACGGAGTGACAGGAACGTACATGTAGACTACTTGAGTCATGTTGTACAAGAATTGTAGTCCTGTCAAGCACATAACTAGAGTCACATCAAGGATTAGGTTGACAAATCTGTTCACAAACATAATTCAAGTTAAAGATATCGCGGAATTCTACAAGTTATCCGTGATTTCTGTGCTTGTCAGAAGCTTTTATTACAATGTGTATTAAATTACCTATTCGTACTCACAGAATTTGAGATACATGTAATGTACATGATGCTTACATATGTAGATCTACTTTCTCCACTTCTTAGATCCTAAGCCACAGAAAAATACATCGAAATTCTTAGGCATAGTCTTAAGACAGCCACCCACTGTCAAGGAGAAAAGTGACCATCATAGACAATGTCCAATATAATTTTATAAAAAAATGGAAAGTAGAGGAAATTCGGAGAGGCCGTTAGTGCAGGTGATTGTCTTTGACAGGGACAGGTGGCTGTACCGTTAGAGCAGGCTCGACCATACATGTGTATTTGGTAGGAAACTTGTAATAGACTGGCCACTGGCCCATCCATGAATGCAATTTGCAAATCATTGGGCAGGCCCTGTCAGATGGAAAAATTGACTGTCTGAAGGTGGCTGCTGCAGCATAGCGTAAATGAAACAACCTCTAAACAAGTGAGTAAGGACAGTGTTAAATCTTTACACCCTAACAGGATCATTCAGGACAACAGTATAATTTCTAAACACTGCAGTAAAAGCCAATAAGCTGAAGTCTTGATATAATTCGACAAGCAACATATGAGAACAAGTAGAATCTAGGTGTTTTTTGGCATTGTCGACAGATCTAGAGGAAGAGTTGTTACTGCTACAGTGCAGCCTCTCTATAACGACATCCTCTGTATAGCGACATGGTGCCCAGGCCCTGATTTTTATTCTTTTTAAAAATTATATTATATATATTCTAGTAATATTTTTGGTTGCCTCTCTATAACGACAATTTTTTCTGGTCCTGACTATGTCGTTATAGAGAGGCTGCACTGTACATCATTCGCAACAGCATGGAAAGAAATAGAGACCTTACTATAATATACGGATCTAACATTCCTTTCAATGTGAAGGTTGTTTTCATGAGTCAGCAACGTCCCCCAAACGGTTTGGACCAAGGCTGTTGCTCAGCATGTAAAAAAGAGCCAAAAGAAGGTTCAGACCCTAGCAAGAGTTTTCCTGCTTCATTAAAAAAATTCCTTTTGTAATGGCGAAAAAGAAAAACAATTCAAACGCCCAATTCATGTAAAGTTTTAGACATATTTATTACATAAAAATCTTATTAAATAAATAATATATTTACAAATTGCAGCTGCACTGGTGATAAAATGGATGACAAAAAAATATTAAAACCACTCAAATGAAAAAACACTGAGTAGCTAAACACCTGGCTTAAAAAATGTGAACTGACAAGAATCGCAATTTGCTCTAAAAATTACATTCTTGTAGACCTAAAATTTATGGGATAAAAATAGTGGATGAGTACAGCACATATTTACAACAGAATCAAATGTGTATGGCCTGTGACAGTTATGTGTAGAGTAAAACTTTGAGATCCAGGAATGACCAAATTAGAAATCTTCGTCCAGCGAGAATTCATGGTGAGACGTGCCTTGGTTCTTGTTCATGACTCCCATCTTCTGGTACTCCCCAACTCGTTTCTCAAAGAAGTTGGTCTTGCCCTCCATTGAGATCAGTTCCATGAAGTCAAAGGGGTTCTCTGAGTTATAAGTCTGGACAGAAACAAAAAGATCACAATTTAGTATGCTGGTGCTGAAAATACTAGTATTAGTATGTATAACTTTTCAAAACCTGACTGCTGTAGACAATAAATACAGCGAAACCTGGTGTGTCAAGAGCAGGGGTTGTAAGTTAAAGGATGAGTGCAACATACATAAAGGCATTAGGATTATTAGGAAGAATATCCCGGCAGGCTCATCATTGTGAAAAAAGGGAGGTGGGGGTTTAGGGCATGTGTGTGATTATTGGCTGTGAGCTTGATCCAAAATGAAAGAAACCAATGGAAAAATAGATTACGTCACAAGCCTTTGATCCTAACAGTAATAGTACATGCTGTGTGCCCACCATAGATGATTAAGTTTCAAACAAAAACTCGTTCAAAAATATTCTCTTATTGGTCAAGGCCATCACGCACAGCTTTTTAAAAAATAGTGTTTTACGGCACGCGCAACACAATAAGTAAGGTCATATATATATATATAAGTGCTGAAGATTAGAAGTGTTACAAGAGAGTAACAAACAAAAAAGGAGGGGAGATAAAGATGATAGACGTTTGATAGGAAAGAAAAAGCACACCACACCAGAGCACCCGCCAACCACCTACACTTTTAAAGTGCAGGACCACCTTGTCAAACTAAAGTTTGGTTGCCTTACTCCGGGCTTTGGGTTCAATAAATGTTTTTCCAAGGATAAAGTGACATCAAGGGCTCGATACACAGAAGGTGCTAGAGTTAGACAGCTGTATGTGACATAGACTGTAGGGGCCCGATTGATTTTCCTCCGTATTCGCCAGGAGGGTGGGGATGGGTTCGGGTAGCTGATTTTTTAAAAATTTATTTTTAATTAGGTGTATTACATCATATTTTCGCAATATTCATATTGATGGGCACCTGGCTGACAGACCTATGAAACCAAGCCCACTACTATTTCCAAGAGAAAGCTTTTTTAACAATATCAACTCATGGGAATATTTGCAGTACTGTTAGACAACCCCCCCCCCCATATCAAGGTTTTACTGGGTGTGTCACATGTAAAACAGGGCAGAGAGACGAAACTATTTACAGCACAATCCACTTATATCGACAGACGATGTATCAACATTTTGATTTGACATATTTTCCATTTATGAAACGTTTCGTCCATATCTTCACTAAATAATTTTTCGTTTTTGACTTTTTTCGGCCCACTGCTTTATCAACATGCTTCCTGGGCACCTGGCGAAGCCCACGAACATAAATGGGGTGAAAAGCTGCGCTAACGGTCAACGTATTAGTTCATTAAGTCCGCATACATGCCAAGTAGCCTCTTTGACCCACCAGGCTTTAGCAGGTCAATAGGGCTTACACAGTGTAGTCTCCAACACAGTACAGTGCCTCACAGACATATGAGCGTCTCACGCGCTGGGCATCACCTCCCTACCCCCGCTGCCCATCCTATTCTAACTCTCAGTCTGTTGCTGGCAAGTGCCACGGTCAGTGAGTCAGTGCCTCGCCTTTCCCCCAGTAAGCGGCCAAATAGCCTTACAAGGCTGCTACAAGAAAGTCTGCGCTGGTATGTTGTGTGCACCTCACATTGCTTGGTCTTTGGTAGTTGTGTAAGAATTAAGGGAAGTAACCACCTTTAAAAAGTAGTGTCTTTTTTACCGCTGACATGCCCTTGGTTTCCCTCCCCCCTCTTTGGCTTTATATCTTCATTTATCAAAATTTTTATATATCGACATCAAATCCACTCCCCAAAGCATGTCGTATAAGCGGACTATACAGTACTTTCTTTTCATTATCAGTATCTGCAACCTAAAAAAAGATGAAGCATGCGTTGAATCTCACACAGGAGTCTACATTTGGCTTTGTCTTACCTTTGCACAGCCCAGTTCAACAAGAAGCCTGTCTGCGACAAACTCGATGTAGCGCTTCATGAGCTCACAGTTCATTCCAATGAGGTTGCAAGGAAGAGCTTCTGTGAGGAACTCTTGCTCAATGCGGACGGCATCCTTGATGATCTCGTAGACTCTCTCCTCAGAAGGCTTGTTTATCAAGTGTCGGAACATCAAGCAGGCAAAGTCACAATGCAGGCCCTGTGAACAAAAATGTCAGAGTTTAAGAGTCTGATACCGTAAAACAAATAAAGGATAATGATGTTTTGCATCAGTTTGCCTGTAACAACCAAAAAGGCGAAGGAACATTCACAAAAGTAATTACTTAGTGAAACAATTCTTTGGATATTCATTTTTTACTACAAGGCAGTATAGGCATTCTTGAACTTGGGTTGTTTAGGGAGTTATTGTTCACCGACTAAGCTCAATCCTTTCATTAGCGATCCAACCTTTCAGGTGAAATTATGTAAAAAGGGGTGTTGAGAAAAATATATTTAATTAAATAATTTAAAATCAGGTAAGGCATGAGGACCTCATGGATTATCATTGGAATTTTATCGATTCAGGGCTGCCCACAAACCAGCTATGTTTTAGTAATCAACAAATAGGAAATTTCCAGGTCTTCTCGGTTTCACATGGATTTTGCAACCATTTCCTAAGCACCCTAAAAAAAAAAATTAAAAAAAAAAGACAGAGCAAGGCAATAAGAAATGCAAGAAAAAAATATGTAAAAATAAAGCCAAGAATCGTCCCTTTCCAGCGGTTGTGGGATGCATAGAACGGTAGCAAAGTAGGGGGTGGGAGTCATTGGCTGTCAGCTTGACTCTCGCAAAAACAAACCAACAACCTATCACACGCGCGTGATCCTGATTGTGCATTACAACATACCATGCAGCGGTCTACAGCACCCTTTTATATTTCTCTACTTTTAATTCTCTCATCAACCTACGCTGTCACCCACAACAAAAAAGTACAGAAATATTTTAATACCTCGTCAAACAAATATTTTTTTTAAAGTATTCGTTTTAAGCCTATGCATAACTTATGTTTCTTCTCTATGGTTGTTTATTTCTCAATTTTTGAAAAACACCTTTCAGAATTAATTATACCCAGGTTATATATAAATGTTTAAGTCGTACTAAACTGTTTAAAGCAGGGCAATCAAAAGACAAATGAATTAAATGAAAATACAAATCTCACCTCGTCTCGGCTGATGAGCTCATTACTGAATGTGAGACCAGGCATGATTCCCCTCTTCTTCAACCAGAAGATTGCAGCGAAGGAGCCAGAGAAGAAGATGCCTTCAACAGCAGCAAAAGCAACAACACGCTCAGCGTAGGGGGAAGAATCATCACCGATCCACTTGATAGCCCAGTCTGCCTTTTCTCTGACACACGGCAAGGTCTCGATGGCGTTGAACAGGAAATCTCTGTAGGGCAGAAGTTCACATTAAACACAATGCCTGAAGCTTGTCAGCAAGCCATTCTAATGCCCTCAGCCCAGAAAAACTTTTTTTCAAGAGAAAAAACAAAATACTTTTACGAATGGTATCTTAAATCTGTACAGTACCCCACCCCCGACATATATATATTTATATATTTTTATGATGCAAATAATACCATCGCATATGAAGAAATTCCAATAAAAACATTTTTCACCATTTTGGACATTGTAAAACTGGGCAACATTGGTGATCTTTCTTAAAAACACCTCGTCTTTAGGTCTTTCAAGTGTGGCAGGAAAGAAAGTTTGTTGTCAAAGATTACGCCCACGAAGCGAGCTTGTTTTTTAACAGGAGTTTTCTCCCCAAACAAAGATAGGTCTGGTTGTCGCACACACTTGTGCGACGGACAAAAATGGACACAGTTCGTTTTTGTTGTACAAAATTTAAACGTGCCCGTTTGCCCAAGTTTTCAGTTTATGGAGTTGAAGCTGAAGTTAACTGTGACCTATTTTTTATTTTGATTTACAGCAGATCAGGAATTCAACGTAAAGTGAGCAGTCAATATTGTTTTGAAGGGTTTTTGTGATGGGATTGATTTTGATTTTAAAAAAGAATGGGCGATGACATGCTTCCCTGGGGGATGCCTTCTTGGGAGTGTAAATTTGATAGGGTTGAACCAACTTTTACTTGAAATGATCGATCTTTCAAAAAGTTTCGTATAAATTCTGAAAGATTTCCGCGTAAGCCCAAGTCATGCAGGTCTTTCAGAATTATTGAGAATACCATGTTTCCACGTGGTGTCAAAGGCTTTTTTCTAAGTCGAAAAAAATAGCCACAAGGTGCTCTTTCTGAATAAAAGTTTCAAGTCGGACGAGATGGTCAATAGTAGAGCGATTTTTGCGAAAACCGCATAGGAAATTGGATAAAGAGTGAGGTTTCAAGAAACAATGAATGACAACATACCGGTACAAGTATTTATAAAAACCTTACCTTTCTTTAGGATCTTTGATGTATGTGTCGATGAGGAGGCTGTACATTTCACTGTGAATATTTTCCATAGCAATCTGAAATCCGTAGAAGCAACGAGCCTCGGTGACCTGCACCTCTTTGCTGAATCGTTCAACCTGCAGAGTGAAATTATCACATGAGGATAACGGGGAAAAAAACCCACATTAAAATATTGGTAACATGAACTTCACAGAACCAGAGATTTTTTCGTGTCAGAATGTTAATGAAAGGATCAAAATGATCAGAAGTTTATGCTAGGCCTTGTGCAACATTTTTGCAGACTTATCAATCTTTGGAAAATGAAAACCAAACACCGTTAATTTGAAAAATAAAAAAATAAAACCCCAGAATTCTTTTTCGTCATGTCAATTTCAGCAACATCTCTTAACCACAGAAAGTCCAGCAGTCCTACAGACTGGTTTTATATAGACTAAACAGCATAACAAATTAGGAAAAGCACCTTTTTACAAGTTTTAAACCATATTGATGCTGAATGAAGAAGGAAGTGGGATGTAATTGTTGCTTCATTTAAGTGAAAGACCATTGGGCAGAAAATGGGTTGATTTGGGCTGGAGAGAATGTAGAAAATGTAGTCAGGAAGTCAATAACAAAGATAAAGAATATCAAGTGCTCATAGTACTCGTACCAGATTTTCATTGACAATTCCATCGCTAGCAGCAAAAAAGGCCAGAACATGTGAAATGAAGTGTTTCTCTTCTGACTTCAGCTCTTCCCAGTGAGCAAGGTCCTTTGACAAGTCGACTTCCTCCGCAGTCCAAAAAGAGGCCTCTGCTTTCTTGTACATTTGCCAGATATCATGATACTCAATTGGGAAGACCACAAATCTCCTGGGGTTGTCTTTTAGAAGCGGTTCAACTTCCTTTGCCTTGACATCTGCGACAGGTTTGCTTGGCTGGTGAAGCAATTAGATAGAAGAAATAAATACACGTAAACCCAAAAGTTCTTAAACGAAAGTAATCCCCTTATGAGAGGAAATTTTTTTTAATAAAGCCGATGGACGTTTATAAGTTGGCCATTGAATAGGAAGCACAGCAACAACAAAAAATGTATTCTGCATTTAGAAAACATTGATACTAGCAGCAAGCCATCTTTAAATAAAAGATAATATATTCATTATTATAACGATGGGAAAACTATTTTCTTACTACAGTGCCTGCTGGGCACACCTGATCAATATACACTGCAGCATTCCAAACAAATAAAAGTTATAATTGCTGAATTTCAGAAGGCAAAAGCAATGATACTTACTTTTTCATCTAGAATGTTGAGACTTTGCACCTCAGTGGAATTCTGAAGAAGAAAAAAAACAACTCCAGTAACGGGAACATTGAGAGGATTTAGGAATCGGAAATACATCCAATATACAAGGACATCATCAAGTTCCAGGTGGACAAAAAAAGTATTAAAAAATTAATCTAGACAGCCCGAATACAAAGTGATTTCATCTCGAACAGAGCATTCCTTAGCTAAATTAATGATAGGCACTGGAGTGGACATGAAATGAAAAGTCAAGAGGTATATGTATCCCGCCTATGATTTTTTTTGGACTGAGTAGATGTTTTACGGCACTATCGACACAATTTTGGTCATTTGAGCGCCAACAGGTTTCATCGCAACAAAATCAGACGTGTTTTAGTAAGTCTTTCGGAGCTCGCAACCGCACACTATTCTCATGCTAAAAATGACGGACAGACATTTATAAAAATTGTGTGTAAATATATCTACATTTGAACAATGTTAATTTCAGTGTGTGTATATATATATACACACACACACTGATAACGATAACTATACATTTTTATATTCTATCAAATAGTCCTATTTCTTTTATATAACTTAAAATTTTTCTAGGGGCTACAATGTTAAAAAGGGTTTTGATATCTTTACATTAAAAATACTTCTCATGCACATCATTAAATTCGACACATTTCGTTAGAATGTGCCAAACAGTGAAATTTGTGTTGCACGCCACACAAAAAGTAGCTTCCTCTCCTTCGAGGTATCCCGCCTAAGCCAGATAACTTACAATGCAATATCCTGGTATAGCTAAGCATCATGCCTACTGGACTCTATAAAAGAATTTTTTACGATGCATTATAAGATCAGATGTGGATTTATTATCCTGCTTTTAAAAGCCAAGACTGTTATAAGAGGGGCCAACTGTTTTATTATTACAGTAAAACAAAACCAACTGGACACCATGTGCATACCGCATATCACCCTGCTCATTGTAACTTTGTAAAATCATAATTAAATGTAGATTTATTTTTTTTACACCCCATTCCCACAATTTAGACCATTTTGGAGGCAGGCTTTCGACCCTACCTGCCCGTCAAGGCCAACCCAGGCTGAGAGGGATAAAACATCTCAGCCGAAAGGATTATCTTTAAAAATCAGAATAAGGAGTATTTACTATTACAATCGTATTTTCGAGAAACTTGAAATAAAAATCGCAACGACTATATTATATTTCTGGCAAATTCATAACAATGGGCAGCTCTGAAGTTCTGCTTGGATTTAAATAGGATTTGTCCTTTTTGCATATCTTACCAATTTTGTTCAAGCTAGGCCATGCGGTTGCCATATATTGTGATGTAGTAAAACGATTGCATCTTTTATTTATCCAAGTGACTATTCGGACTCGAGTCCGAATATGAAAAAATGTTATTCAGACTCTGATTCTTGTCCAGCATGACATCACTTCCGACTTCCTGTGACTCGTGACTCCGGCTTCCTGTCCTGCCTCACTTGTGACTCGCCTCAGGCTGGGTAGAGACTGGGATCACTTCGGGCAAAAAGGTGTTTTGTGCAGGAGCCGAGTTTTAATCTTATGATGAATTTGAGGCCGGCCTTAAAAGTTATAGCACTTCTAATAAATGTTTATTTGTCAAGAGGTCATCAGAAGCAATTAAAGATGGCTTGTTAGCGTGTGTCGGGGTCGGATGGGCGGCCTGCACACGTGTGGCTGTGTGCGTGTCGGGGAGGGGCACTATCGATCCGGGCGTTGAAGGCCGCATACACGTGTCTCCCCCCCCCCCGGCAACTGATCATTATTACAATAATAAGCTAGTCTTGACGTAGATCTATGTAATGAATTGTGCACTGGTCTATGGAATCAAAAGTTGCCGTATGCTCAGCTCTACACAGACACAGCAACACAACTTTTTCTTGGTAAACAATCGATATGACACAGGCTTGTGTATTTGAATGAATCGGTCTTTTTTTTTTTACACAGCTCATAATATGCAGGTGCCAGGTGGTCTGCTAATCTTCAATTTTACCTTTTTCTACAACAAAGAAAGTGGGAAACATGGGGGAGGGGGCGTGGCGTATCAATGAGGCGGCGGGCATCGGATCGGCCGAAAAGGTGTGGGAGAAACTAAAAAATGGCGGAACATTGGAAGCACCGAACGTTAGATATCTATAGAACGAAGACACTTCCTTTTTTCCCGGATCCGAGTCCGAATAACGACGGCCTTTATTTATTTCGATGGTGCATCCAAATCGGAAGGACTTCCAGCATTAATGAGCAACCACCCAAACAAACAAAGAAGCCATGAATTGGTATTACAGGCTAGATCTATACCGAGGAAGGCCAAGGTCGAATTGCTTGTCTGCTTCACATGTGGCACACCTAGATTCTAGATCTAATCTAGATCTAGATTTAGATCTAGATCTAGATATTGTGCACGCGCATCGGCGTTTTGAATCCGAATAGCCGCAGTCTTCTGTTATGACTGACCAAATGAAAAAGTATTCCAATAGTCAATAGAGATTTAAAAGGACAACATAGATCTAGAATCTAGATCTAGATCTAGTCTTGCCATGGCATAGGCTAGATCTAGATCTAAATCTAGATCTCATCTTGACATGATGAGCTAACAAAACTACTGGGAGTCATGCCTTCCCTCCAAAATTCAAACCCCCCCCCCCAGATTAAGATAATTACCTGAAGCTGACTTGTTCCCAGCGGTTTCCTTGCTGGTGCATCTTTCTTTGGACTCTGTTGAAGATCAAGATTAGTTAAAACAAAAATCATGGTGGCAAGTGTCGAATGTCGGTAATATTCTAGATTCTAATTGTAGTTCACGTAGGGTTACCGCGCCAAGCCAACTAAGGTCAATCAATGCAATGTCCTGACATGACCTTTCGCATTATGATTACCGGTAGGACTACCCTCCGGCAAAATTGACTTTGCAACAGTACAAATAACAAATCTAGATCTAGATCTACAGATGAGATTTCATATACAAAATCAAAACGTAATCTAGTCTAGATCTATATATCTATAAGCAGGAAAATATATCGAAATCGTGCGTTCTTTCCCGCGTTCATTATGTGGGCGTCAACGTCAGCAGTCAGGAATTGACTAAGTCAAGCAGACAGTGCTAGAGTGCAATTACCCAATATGTGACGAACATTTCGAGGTGTTCTTGGCCAAAAACAGGATAAACGTCAAATAGATCTACCTTAAGCGAGAGTGCATCTGTAGAAGTGACCAGCTGGGAAACTTTGTCGGAAGGCATGGTGATGGCAGTTTTCTTGACTCTCAGACACGATATGCACACGTCTTTCTCGTTGGGAGTCTTAAGCAGATGTGAAAAAAGTTCGGGAAACAAGGTTCCAAACACCCGCGCTCCAACGAAGTCTAGAAATGATTGGCTGAAAAAAACAGCTGGGACCTATTTGATTGGACAATAATGGAATAGTCGAGAGGTCAGAGGGAATGACGCACAACGACTTGTATAAGTGCCAAGCCTAATATTGCCAGTTAGGACATAGAAACATTACCGCCATGGTTTTTCGCAGATCCATTGATCTTTTAATATACAATATACTTCAAATAATAATATGACACATATATTTATGTGGCAAGTTTCATTCCTATGTTTTATTGTTTTAAGCAAACACTGCTTTTTTTTTTCGGGGGGGGGTTCAGACCATAGCTTCCTTTTAGAAATAAGTCGACGATGCTTAAATTCAGCGGGAATTCCATGCCAGATTCAGGAAAAACAAATTAACTCATTATTATTCATTTTTATATACATTGTTTTGTTCAATGAATTTGGGATTAGCTTATTATATATAGATCTAGATCTATCTTTAAATGTTTCCATTGGCTACTTTTATATAATACATATTTATATTTATCATTTTTTAAATTTTAGGAATCAGTCATAAGATTTGAAATGTCAAAGTTGCCAGACATACAAAATGCTCCGCGCCGAGGGCTTTTTGTGCCGCTTTCCACAAAACCAGTGTTTCTTTGTGTCTGCCGCAACACTGCCGCGCGCTGAGGTTGCGTTCAGCTCTCGGGTGGCGCCCGCGCAAGCGCTTGCTTGAGAGCAGGCGGTATAATATAATTTAGACGTGGAATCTTTGTCTTCTTTGATCCACGTTTGTTTTCTTGTTTTCCTTCACCAGTGTAAAGCCGGATCTAGTTAACAAGGAAATACAATATCAATGCCCCTCTTTGGCTTAAAGATTATGTTTTTAGCGAGTGAACACGATGGGAACGGAGGTAGGCCCTATAAGCCTTTTTACATGATAAAAGCAAAGAAACGTGCGCTACGAACCGTTAAAACAGTCCTTACTAATCATTGAAGTAATACACATTAGACAAGAAAGTATCAAATTAAAAAGATAATTGATCCGCTATTATTTAGATAGGTCCCAGAACCGCGTAATGATCGAAGTAGTATGCATGGTGTAAACAGATCTTAATGCAGGCTGGGG